ACACCTTCCAGCCTGCGCATTGGATTTTTTAGGTGAGACACAGTGTGCGCGGAACTGAGCCCACCCTTTAATCCTGAGGTTCATCTGCCGGGGCCAAGCGAGCTTGGACGGTGGCAGCGAGGTCCTCAGGACGTAGATGGATTGCCTTATGGGCTAACGAGCTCCATCTGCCCGGGGAGGGGCCCCGACGGGAATCGAACCCGGGTCTCTGCAGTGACAGTGCAGTGTATTTTCCCCTGGACCACCGGGGGCTCCCTAATAGGGTGCACACCAGGTGCAGTCAGACAGCTCTGAGCTAAGCTGTGAATTCACTGGAATCCATGAACAGTTTTACAGGAAGGGTCTTCTCAACAGCAGAGCTCCAAGCTCAGCCATAGGGAGCCCTTTAGGAAGGCACCATGGACAATCACACAGGGGTTCCATGCACACAACTGCACAACACCAAACACAGAACTTCCCCTTCAGACACACTGCAGTGTCCCACCAGCTCACCTCTCCCTGGGGTGAATTCAAATCGGATGTCATTGAGCTCTTTTTTTGAATTCCTGGGGAAAGAAGAGAATTTTATGTAGAGAGGCCATTTTATGATCAGTGCCCGAAAGAAAGTGCTGTCATTGAATAATCAATGTGTCTCATTCATTTCACAGTGTCTGTGAAATGAACTCATGGCATCCTTCCCCCTCAAAGGCAGAAACTAATGACTTGGGTTTGCATATGGAAGCAGCTCGGCCCGCCTCCAACCTGACAGAGCCTGATCAAGTCCAGGATAGGTAAGTGCCACCTCTCAGGTATAAGACCTCGTTGTTCCATTGTCTCAGCAACTCATATCCATCAGCAGATGGATATCCTTGGAGCACATGGTTCAGAGGAGGGAAACACCCACAGTCTGCAGATGCACACCCATTACAGAACGGACTGGGAGGTGATGGCCAGAGGCCCCAGGCCAAGGGGATGCCTCCAGGGATGAGAGCCACATTCCTCCAATGAGAAATGTCAGTGTGTGAAATGAATGTAGAAAGATTTTGCCTATTTCTAGGGACACAGACCAGAATCCACTCCTTGAACTGGGTAAAAGCTGAACTGACTGAAATCTGAAGCTTTGCCCAATGATCCAAGCACAAGGCAAGAACCCCTGGATCCCTGATCCCCCTTAGGGAACCCAGCTAATCCCTCCTTCCCACCTCATTAGAGTTTAGCAATGTTTATAACAAATATCAAAACCTCTTCCACACTACAGGTTTTGCCAAACTGAAGTGGCTGTGATAAACTGCTTTTCTGGGCCCTGGTTTCAGAAGAGTGGTTGAAATCCAAGCTGAGACAACATATAACCACCACCCTATCAATTAGTAGGTAGAAAAGTCTGCCAGTGTCCCTCTGCACACGGGCTCACTTTGACAGAACAGGCCAGTTTTGTGTCCTTACCTTAACCTTAGTACAAGGCTGATGGGGACTTTCGTGTCTTCCTGTACCGGAGCTGCAGCAGCTGCAGGTGGGGCCTGCAATATAATTACATCATTTTAAAGCAGATTAATAATTCCTTGCTCTGGTTTTAAAACTTAGAGATAACCTTGATCAACTTTAGATACAAATAAAAGTTTAACTCGCTGTTGGGATCACCTACAGTGAAAAAAAAAAAAAAAAGATGGACTAATGAAACGGGAAAACTTCACACTTAAATAATATCCAAGGAGGGTCTCTCTGATTGTCTTGAAAAGAATAAAAGCTACACAACTTTGAGAAATGACAAAAGGGCAGGAGACTACAGAAGTGTTAACTGTAAAAAGATTGCTTGTTTTGCTTTAAAACTTTTGGGTTTTAAAAGGCTTTTGGGTATTCAAGACCTCCAGTGTTTTAAACCCTGCCCCAAACAGCTGATTTAAAAATCTGATATAATTGTGAAGAGTACCTAGGAAATAATTTAATTGCCAGATTAGCATAACTATCAGTTACTTTTTTTTTTTTTTTTGGGGAAATCAAAGCCTTTAGGAGCATCTAACAACCATTTTTATAGCTGCCTATTCTCACTTCTAAATTACATCTGAATAATTACATTTGGAATGTGTAATCAAAGCATTTTATATTGGTCAGCAGCAGTAGGAAAGATCCAGGAGTTGCCCATCTTTGCAGAACTTGTGACAGTTCCAGTAAAGGACTAATTGTTAATCAACATCCATGAAAAAAGTGAAACAAAACAGAGAAGGGTTGGTCACTCTCCCAACTGCACAAATCACCTGCACAGGGATTTTATAACTGCAGTAACAAGACAGACACAACACTAGGCTGATAATTTAAGCATAGAAGTCTTGAGCAAGTTTTTTTTCATCTAGGTCACTTGCTTTTTCATGAGAGGAAAAAAAAAAATAACCCTTTGTTTAAGACAAGTATTTTGCTCCCCAGCGCTCTCGGGCCAGCAATGCAGCTCAGGGCTTCTGATCACAACCTGATTGCTGTTGAAGCTTTACCAGGTCAGTGAAAACAAACAAGGGTTCAAGGAGAAGCCCAGAGCTCTGCAAAACAGTAACCAGCGAGTGACAAGAACCAGAGGAGCCATAAAGAATAACACACTGACACAGAGAGCTGTAAAGAAGAACAAATTGACAATAAAGAGATATAAAAAAAGCATAGTGACACTAAGAGCTGTAAAGAAAAACACACTGATACAAGTTCATGAAGTTCATCCTTAAGACAAGCTACCAACAAATCAACATATCTGAAGGGCTTTATTTAAGTATTAAAGCTTGGCTACATTATTTAATGTAGCCAAGAATATGTCAGACCACAACTCCACTGTTTTTGTGTAATGACTAATGGGTTGTCTTTAATGGGTTTGTAATCAGGAACACAGAATCACAGAGTGGTTTGGGTTTAAAGGGACCTTGAAGATCATTCAGTTCCAACCCCCTTGCCATGGGCAGGGACATATTCCAACAGACCAGGCTGCTCCAAGCCCAAGCCCCTCCAATCTGGTCTTGAACAATTCCAGGGATACGGAGTCCACAACCTCTCTGGGCAACCTGTGCCATCACCTCACCACCCTCGCAGTAATCAGAGCTGACTGCAGTGTTATTTGACACTTTCTACATTCTTTAAAATAAAGTTAATGAAATATAGGAAGAAATAAGCCTAAGATTTATTTTTCAGATCAGCACTGCCAAGTCTCTTCCCCCCACAAAAAAATGAACAAACAACTCCAACAAATATGAACATCAGCGTCTTTTATAAAACCTGTGCCATCACTCAGCAGCCTAGCAAGCTCTGCAGTGCTTTACTCAAGCAAACCACAGGCCATGTTCTAAGTGTTCTCAGTAATGATTTGGGTTGGCCATTTTTCTATGACATTTGAAGAACTGAGGTTCTGGTTCCTCCCTCACTTTTCTCTCCACTTTTCCCCACAGATGTCAGTGATGTTGAGACACAGTCTGAGCCTGTTTGTGCTTCACCTTAAATACCAGGAACAAGTAGCTGCCACTTAAATGGGACTATCTTTTTTTCTTACCTTTGACCTTGCCTCAAGCCAGAGTCTCATCCCTGAACGGCACAAAAAGTCACTGCTCAACCACAGAAAAACTGCCACACCCACACCGACCATCGTCCTTTCGCAAGCACCAGCTGTCCTTGTGCAGAAACTACAGCACTAAATCACTCCAGACAAGAAACTTCCACGGTTTCAGGTCACTCTAGCATGTCTGGAACAGAACAGCTAAGTGCACCTGAAAGTTGGTAGGAAGGATTTCTGCTCTTACCTGGGCTGCTGCTGGAGCTGCTGCTGGGGCTGCTGCTGGGGCTGCTGGAGGAGCCTGACTAGGTGGAGGTACAGCAGTTTGAGATTGTGCAGGTGCTTGTCCTGCAGCCTGAGGTAGTTGAGTAGGTGCCTGTGCTGGAGCAGGGAGTGAAGGACCTGGAGGCTCAGCTGATGGAAAGAGCTGCAAGTAAAAAGGAGTTTTAATGAGAAAAGGAACTCAAGAGTTCTGACTCAAGCACCAGCTTTCCCAGAAGTGCTTGTTTGCCACATAAATCACTTAGAGAAGTTCAATGCCAGGGGCATTCCAAGGCCTCCAGGATGCTGACACTGATCCCAAGTTGGCATTCAAGGGGTTTAACGTGCCCTGACATTGGCAAGTTTTACCCATTGGTAAAGAAGGATAAGAAACCAAGATACCAGCATGAGTGTGGATCTTGGACAAACATTCCACTCTGTGGCAAGGCTGGTGCACACAGATCACATCCCAGGTTGGATGAGAACACCCTATCCTCCAGTTTCCCTCTTTCTCGGAATCCGAGTCCTACTTACAGTTCCAAGCAGCCATGCTGTCACAGCAGAGCAACCCTGCTTTAACTTGTCTTTCCCTTCAGAGAACAAAACCTAGCAAAGCAGTGAGATAACTATCGACAGCTGATCCATTCAGAAAAGTCAGAGTCAGAGCAATCTGGATATTCAATGAAAAGTGAATTCACGGTTCTTCAAAACACATCAGACAAGGTTTAGGATTGGACTTTCATAAAGGTAGCCTCTTGGGGGAAAAATAAATTGAAAAAAAGTAATTTGAGGGTGGGGAAAAGAGGTAAATGAAAGTTCAATCTTTTTTATCTCTTGTTATTCAGAACAGAAAAACCGATTATGGCACTGGAGCCAAAAAACTGTCAGTTTGATGGCACTTCAGTGTGCCCTCCAGCTTACTCTGATGGGTTGTAGGAAATACAAAT